TAATTAATACTTCATCCGGCCTCTAATGATTACATTTTCATTTTGCGTCATTGTACTTAATATTAAAAATATATTTATATTTGTATAATTTTTTGTACAAATATTCTTTAATTAGTATTATGAGACACTAAGAGAAATATTTTTGTAATTTTTTCTTAATTTATACTATGTTGTGAAATAATAATTAATATTCAAATAACAACACTAAAAAAATAAATGAGACCCTTAGAGCCGGACGTAGGTAATAATATAATAGTAAAATTAATTATAATATAATAAAAATAATTATATATTAATATTAAAATAACTAATTAGTCTAATAAAAATAAAAAAATTATAAAATTTAAAATATGATTAAAATATATAATTATTTTCAAAAACAAAATGACAATGTGTGGGACGGACGAAAATAAAAAATATGACATTATATGTGGGACGAAGAAAGTATTATTTTATTTGTACTTTAGAAGTGCAATAATATCACACTATCTTGCACACTCCTACAAATAAAATGATACTACCTTCATCCGGCTCTAAGAGTCTCATTTACTTTTTGCATGTTGATCTTTGAATATTAATTATTACTTCATATATCAAAACATAGTAAAAATTCAGAAAAATTGCAAAATTACTTTCATTAATGTCTTATAATACTAATAGAAGGACATTCGTACAAAAAATTATACAAATATAAGGATATTTTTAATGTTAAATACGATGACGCAAAAGATAAATGTGACTCTTAGAGGCGGACGAAGGTAATATTATTTAATCTACCAAAATAAATAAATAAATAAATAACTTATTTGAATTAGGACAGATAGGACATAATTTACTCTATTATTATAAAAAACAATAAACACATGTCTCATATTAACGATGAATCTTTAGAAAATTGTTATAGTTGGAAGGTTACGGATCCAGTGCTGATTAAATTAAATTAGTATTATGCTGATTTGATCGGGCTAATATATCAAATAGAGATAATCTACATATATTATATATTCCCTCCATCTCGCAAGAAGAGCACGGTTTGCTTTTTGCACATAGATTTTTTAATATTAGCATTATATTAGTTTGTAGTAAAAAAGACAAAAATGCTAATATTAGTATAGTGTGTTATAAAAGTGATGATATTCGTGTAATATATTGTAATTTGTAAGGGTATTTATTATGTTAGGTAAGTAATACAGTTATTAAATTAGGAAATAAAACCCTTGTTTTTGGATAGACAAAATAGAAAATGATATACTTCTTATAAGACTGGAGGGAGTATTATCATTGTATATTCATGATATAACATAAGTTATGTTATAAATTAATATATAATATCTTATAACACAGCATATACTAATTCGATCAAAATTGATTTGATTTAGTTAGCATGTGATCCACACCCTAATTGGAAAATTACCGTGATGGCCAGCTGCGGATTTTTACGTCATAAAAAAAATAAATTAATTACCGTAATGGCCTAGTCAAGATGAAGTATGAAGTACGGCTTTCCAGGGTAACTTAAGCAACTTCCCGAACGAGCATTTGCGTATGAATTTTTGTAATGGATGAAGATGAAAGAAATTGTAAAAAATAAATTATAAATCCAAGTAAAGAATTCACGAGGAGAACTTGTAAAACAAAAAAATAAATAAAAACTAAAGTGTGTAAGAAGAATGCAAATGCAACAAATAAATAATACTCCCTTACTCCTTAACAATTTATTCATTTTTTTATTTTTATTTGTCTTATAACAAAGTATTTATTTCATTTTTTTAGTAACTGTACTATCTACCTAACATTACAAATACCTTTCTAATTTATAATATATTACACAAATGTCATTACCTTAATATCATACAATACTAATAAGGGCAATTTAGTCTTTTTATATTTACTCATACTACATTCCAATATAATACTAATATTTCTAACTCATTCCAAAAAGTAAATGGATATATAGATTTGGGACGGAGGGAGTAACAAATAGCTTTCAATTTCAACGGCCCAAAATGATACTTTAAGTTGAGATTGACTTAATATTATATTTTATCTGTCTCAATTCAAACTATTTATTTACTATTTTCGTTTGTCTTACTTAAAAGTATTTATTTCCTAATATACTAAAAATATTGTATATACAAATATCAAAATATCTCTATTTTTACGCAAATTAAAAAACATCTTAATTTTATTTCAAATTATTTTACACTATTTGTTGATTAATAAAATAATATTATTTTTTAATACACTAAAAAAAATAATCTATTTGAAATGAGACTGGGGGTGTATTATGTAATAATAATAATAAATAGTGTATATTATTTACAAATTTAAAAATTATATAAAATAGAATCCAAAGAGAACAGAGAGAATAAGTTTGTTTGACTGTAGTTTATAATTAATTTGATATTTGGTGTTAATTTGAAGTTTCGTTTATATAATATTTTGATATGATATATTTATGAGTTAAATTTATCTATTTTTAATGGAAATCGACCAACCGTATCAATTAAATAACGATATTTTTTTAATTTGAAATAAAAATAAATAAATACATCCAATATTCTTTTACTCCAAAAAAATATATGGATTTTTTAATGTAAAAAATAATAAAATTATGTAATACTTTCGTTCGCTTCTAAAGATCATATTTATCTGTTGCGTCATGGTACTTAACATTAAAAAAATATTTTTTTATTTGTATAAATTTTTGTACAAATATCATTCTATTAGTATTAGTATTATATGACACTAATTGAAGTATTTTTGTAATTTTTTCTTAATTTGTACAATGTTTTAATATAATAATTAATATTCAAATATTAACACGCAAAAAGTAAATGACACCCTTAGAGCCAGACGGATGTAGTCTTTTTTTATTAATTTGTCCTTCCCCTAATTTTTTTTAATTTTATATTGTAAAAAATAATAAAATTTTTTATCCATTCGTTGATTTACACTTTTAGCCTTTAAATTTAATTTTTTTTAATAAAAAATATTAAATTTACATACTTTTGTTGATTTTTTTTCAAAAACATTTAATTTTTCTTTTTTCTTTTTTCTTTTTGCATCCGACTGTGCCAAGAAAAATTGAAAAAAACAATATTGAATCGGTAAAAAAAAATTGATGTTTTGCCCTCCAGAGTTCTACGGATGGGTCCGTCACTGCTATATATATATATTGCGTGTGTTTGTTTCGTATTTTAATTTAAATTTTTTTATATAAAATATATAAATAAATAATATAAAATTAATAAATATGTATAGACTCATGACCGGAGTATGTGGGAACTTGGACAAAAATATTTTTTTATTTTAAAATTATTAAAATTTGTATAAATATATTATTTTGTCCCCTCTAAAATTTAAATTTATTATTTTGTCTCTTCTAAAATTTAAGTTTATTATTTTTATTATTATTTTTTAATTTAATTTATATTAATATAATAGTTTTAATTATATTTTATTTATATAAAAATATAATTTTTTATACTAAATATAATTACAAGTGTCTCGTTGCATTATCTTTTAGTTTTTTTTTTTTTTGTCGTCATCTAATAGCATTAAGAGAAAGCGAAAATAAAAGGATTGAAGTGGTATACAAAAAAATTTGACCGACATATTTTTATAAATTTTTAAGATTTTTATTAAAAAAAATTAAACTGTCTATTTAAATAAAAAAAAATCGATTATTCACATGTTGAAATATGTAAAATCAAAATCGAAGAATAAAAACTCAAAATCTACCAGATAACTTTGCCCCCTAACTTCGGAAGCCAATTCCGTCCATGTGTATTGTATATTAACTTTTTTAAAAAATTTGTTAAATTTTATCTTATCAAAACAAAGGGTGTGTTTCTTTAGGAAGTTTGGGGAAATTTGTGTTTGGTTTGGTTTTTATTTAAATTTTGAGATAAATTTGAATTTATGTGTTTCTTCTGTGTTTAGGTTTGAGTTGGGTTTGAAGAGTTTTGATTTGTATTGATTTGATGGTAATAAATATAATAATATAGTACGTCCGTCTCTTAACCATCTATCTATTTTTTCATTTTGGTTTGTTTCATATCAAACTATCCATTTGATTTTTTTTTAATAATTGTACTATCTACCTAACATTACAAATACCCTTCTAATTTACACTATATTATACAAATGTCATTACATTTATATTATACAATGCTAATAAGGTTAGTTTATTCTTTTTACCTTTACTTTTACTACATCTCAATATAATACTAATATTTCTAAAACTATTACAACAAATAGATAGATATATATGACACGGACGGAGTAAATGTGTATATTTGATTATAAATTTATATTTATTTGTATTATAAAAAAATTTATTCTCTATAAAATGACATATATATTATATATATTTTATTAAATTATAATTATTATTCCATCTGTCTTTAAGGATCACATTTACAAATATCTTTCTATTAGTATTATAAGACATCAATTGAAGTATTTTTGTAATTTTTTTTAATTTATATTATATTTTAATATAATAATTAATATTTAACGATCAAACTGTAAAAAGTAAATAAGACCTTTAAAATCGGACGGAGATTGTATAATTATTTTATATTTATAATTTTAAAAAACTAAAATAAAAAAGAAAAAAGAAAACAGCTGTGTCAGGCGTGTCCCAAAATGAGATAGTCTAATTTTGGGTTAGATTACTATGTATTGAAAACTTAATTAGGGTGTGTTTCTTCAGTCTAAAAGTGGGGTGGAGAAACAAACTAGGTGTGTTTGTTTGGGTGATTGAATTTTAGATTTAGATTTCGGAGGATTTTGAAGTATGAAGTTTTAAGTTGTGTTTGTTTGGAAGTTTGAATTTTGTAATAATTATGTTAAAAAAAAATTATTATTTTATTAAAGAAAACTTATGTATTGATGCGATTCATTGAATTAATTATTATTTAAATATTATTTAAAAAATATAATTAATAAATAAGATATAGTATGATATGGCGTATGTGAGTAAAAAACATTAATTCTACAAATACACTCCATCCAGCCGAAGACTTTTCCCGCTCCTCTCAATTTTTTTCCTTTCTTCCTTCTGCGCGTTTCTTCGCTTCGCTTCGTTCTATTCTTTTTTTTTCTTTCTTTCTTTTTTCCTTTTCTCTTTCTTCTTCTTCGTTGGGCCGCCGCCTTCTCCCGGAAACAAAGTCCGCCGCCCTCAGCTGGAACATCGGGTAAGTTTTAATTTCTTTTCTTCTTTTTTTTTTTAATCTTATTTTAACATTTTTTTCATTTGTTTTTAAGTTCTGCACCTCCTTCCGCCGGTGGTCTTCGTCGCCAGCATTTCATGATTCATTGGCTGAAGTGGAAGCCGATTTTGGAAATTTGTAGTGACAAAAAATAAAATAAAAAAATAGAAAAGAAAATTGAAAAGTGATTTTGTGGCAGGACCTAGTAGGAGAATAGAATTTGTAGGCAGGGTTTTAGGGATTGGTAGGTTAGGGATTTAAACAGTAGAAGTACAGTAGAATTATGTGGAAATCCCACAAATGAACACACCCTAAGGGTATTATGTTTATTTAGCAATATTTTTTCAAATTTTACTATTTGAAAACTCTATGTTTTTCGAAAAACAAATTATTTGTTTTTTTATAAAATATCTCATCAAACATTATTTTTATACCAAACTCAAACAAAAAAATTTTCAAACTCATCAAAAGAAACACACCCGAGTTCCCAACATTGAAGATGATATATATATAGGGGTGGACACGGTTCAGTTATTTGCAAATATGCAGGTATTTGATAACCAAACCGAACCGAACAAATACCCGAAACTGCGAACCGTATTCGAACTGAAAACCGAAATTTTCGGTTAACCGAAAATATTTGTAATATTTGCAAATAACTCAAACCGAACCGAAATTAAAAAAAAATATATAAAAAAAATTAAAATTCTAATTAAATAAAAAATATTTGCAAATATTTCAAATATCCGAACCGAACCGAACCGTATATAATTATTAATATAAATTTTAAAATATAATATTATAAATACATAAATATATTCGATTCGGTTAACCGAACCGAAAAATATATAAAAAACCGAAACCGAATCAAATCGAACAAATATCAAATATGCGATATTTGTATTCGAACCGAATTTGCTCGATTAACCAAAAATTCGATTCAATTCAGTTCGATTCAACAGTTCGACAATTCGGTTCGATTTTTTTATCCAACCCTACATATATTATGGGGACAAATTATTGGAGACATATGCTATAGAGGTACAAGATGCGGTGTACAACATTATTATTATTATTATTATTATTATTATTTTGCATTGTGGTTGGTCTAACATTTCAATCAATTTAATGCAAGAGGGGACATGTGACAGGGTGGGATTCAATGCTGCAACCATCGTCTATTTAATTCATCTTGTACTGCAGTAAGGGTGTACTGCTTGATGTGATATTTTAAATAAAAAATTAATTTTATAAATATAATATAAAAAATAAAAAATAAATATTTAATTTAATATTTTAAAAAAAAAAATTGATAAATAGTAGAACTTGAGAAATTTTCCCCAAACGAACACACCTAAATTTGTGCGACAGGGCCCGGCACATGGAGTGCCCACGTGTATATATATATATGGCCGCTACTAGGATGCTGATTTATTTTAAATCAACTGATGCATATTAATAAAGGTATAGTTGTAATTTTATTTTAATTAAATATTTAATATATTCTTTAAACGTTCAAATAAATACTACCTCTCGTCTTCAAAACTATAGTTTAATTGAATTGAGTACGAAATTTAAAAAATATTAATATTATATTAGTAGTTGGTAAAATGTGTAGATAAAATATTTTTTTGTCTTTGTGAATGTATTAATGTAAAAAGTAGTGACAATTGTGTAATAAAAATGAAAAAAAAATAGAGATAGTTTTATGGTAATATGGTTATTTATATAAATAAGACTATTGTTTTAAGACGGACAAAAATGGTAAACAAGACTGTTGTATTAGGACGAAGGGACTAGGAGGGTGTTTGAGAAACAGCTTTTTGAAGAGCTTTTCCGCTTATTGAACAGTTTTTAGTTATTTGACCAGTCAAAAAGTTAATTTAGGTGTTTGATAAATTAGCTTTTTGAAAGAGCTTTTTGAACCCAAAAAGCTAATTTATAAAAAGCTCATTTACCCAGCGTTTTGAAATAATTTTTTCATTTTAATTTTTGTTATTTCTTATTTACCCTTAAAACTTAATTATTTATTTTATACATATAAATATATTTTTGTAGCAGAATTTATTAATTATTTTTAATATATTTAATTTATTAAATTATATTTTTATTTTTGTAAATTTAAAATAATTAGTACTCCCTCCGTCCCACTTATCGTGTTCACCTTTCCATTTCCGTTCGTCCCACTTATTTTGTCACTTTCTTTTTTGGGAAAATAATTATACACTTTAATTATTTTTAAAAATTTAATTTTTAATTTTTTGAATTTTAATTATACTAATCAATTATTTTTATCTTAATCTATAATTATTTTTATTATACGATAATTATTTTCACTAATACATTTTTAATTATTTACTAATTATACTCCTCCTAAATTCCTGTGTCTACAGTAACGTGGTCAAATTATCCGGGACGGAGGGAGTATTATTAATTATTATATATAAATTATTTTATTTGTAAAATATATAATTTTTTAAATTAAATCAAATAGAAAAAAAACAAAGGTTATTAATTTATTTATATATATTAAAACAATAATTAACATAATAAAAAAAATATATAAAAGATTTATTATTTTATATTTTACATAATATTAATAAAAAATTATTATTTTTTAGTAAAAGTAATTTTCTAAAATCTAAATAATAAAAATAAAAATAAATATTTTATAATATTTTATAATTTTTAATAATTAATAATAAAAATTCTCATAAATTTCAAACCAATACGAACAAAATTAAATATTTTAAAAAATAAAATATCAATTTCCTTAATAATCATTTTATGCATAAACAGCTAATGTCAAACAGTTGTTTTACCAAACATTTTAATACAAACCGCTAATTGAATCAACTAGTCAAACTAGCTAATTGAATTAGCTAACAGCTAAAAACTATCAGCTAATTGCCAAACGCACCTAGATCTCTTAATGCTCTTATGCTCAATTAAATAGGATATTTTTGTGTGCTTTTATGATTGATTTATAATGTATGTTACCAATATATTTAAATTAAATATGATATTATTATGTTAATAAAATTATTAAATAATTATAAAAATATAATTATTTTTTTTAGTGACACGGTAAAAAAAAAAAAAATTATGCGTCCATTGTAGGGTTTATATATTTTCATTGTATATATATTTTTAGATATATTTTCTGTGTTTTTTTGTTATAATGTGTTTGACTTTCTAGCCATAAAAGTTGTTTTGTATATATATTGTAATTGAAGTTTCAATTGAAAATCACTGTGTGTTTTTATTGCGTTACATGTGTGATTTATTTATTTGTAATACGTGCTACTTATAAATTTATATAAAATATGATATTATTATTTTGATAAAATTATTAAATAATTATAAAAATACAATAATTACCTTTTATTGACACATAAAAAAAAAAAAAAAAAGGCAGTGCAGTCAATAGATACCTTTTGGGGGTTTTAAGTGTTTATATTTATTTTATTATATATTTTTTAAAATTATTTATTGTATCCTTTTGTTTTATTGTGTATGATTTTCTAGCCGTATAATATTGTTGTTTTGCATATATTAGCTTTCTTATAATGTGTGTGATTTTTTAACTATATAAAGTTGTTGTTTTGTATATAGTACTCTCTCCGTCCCAGATATCGTGTTTGTTACACTGTAGGCACGATATTTTAGGAGGGGTGTAATTAGTAGATAATAAAAAATATATTAGTGAAAATAATTATTCTATAATATAAATAATTATAAATTAAGATTAAAATAACTAATTAGTTTAATTAAAATTAAAAAAAATTAAAAAGTTTTAAATTAGATTAAAGTGTATAATCATTTTCCAAAAAATAAAAGTGACACGGTATGTGGGACAGACAGAAACGGCAACGTGGACAAATAGAGTATTTTGTAATTGAAGTGCAATTGAAAATCAATGTGTTTATATGTAATTTATTTATTTGTAATATGTGCTATTTATAAATTTATATGAAATATGACATTATTATTTTAATAAAATTATTGAATAATTATAAAGATATAATGATTACTTTTTACTCAAACATAAAAAAACGCAGTGCGGCCAATAGATAACTTTTAGGGTTTTAAGTGTTTATATTTATTTTATTATATACTCCTTCCGTCCCAATACAATAGTCCTGTTTACCATTTTTGTCCGTTCTAAAACAATAGTCTCATTTCCATAAATAATCGTATCACTATAAAACTACATTTACTTTTTCATTATTATTACACAATTGCCACTGCTTTTAACACTAATACACTCACAAGGGTAAAAAAGTTTTTTACCTGTACTTTTTACCCACTATTAATATAATATCAATATTTCTTAAATTTCGTGTCAAATCCAACCCAGACTATAGTTTTGGGACGGATGAAGTATTTTTTATAAAATTATTTGTTGTGCTTTTTTCTTTCAGCGTATGTGATTTTTTAGCCATATAATGCTATTGTTTTGCATATATTAGTGTAATTAAAATTTTAAATGATAACATGTTTGCGTACTTTTATTACGGTATGTATGTGATTTATTTATTTGTAAATGTGTATTATTTATATATCTATATGAAATATGATATTATTATTTTAATAATATTATTAAATAATTATAAAAATATAATAATTATTTTCTATTGACACATTAAAAAAATACAGTGCAGTATACAGATAACGTTTAAAGTTGTTAGGATTTATATTTTTTTATTATATATATTGAAATGTAATTAATGTACTTTTTTGTTGCAGTACGTGTAATTTTCTATCTTCTTGTTGTTTTGATATATTTTTGTAATTTAAGTTTTAATTGAAAACATGTGTGTTTGTTTTTATTACGTTATGTATATGATTTATTTATTCGCAATGATATTATCATTATATGAACACTATTAAATAAAAATGGCTATTTGTAGCGAAATTTGATCAGCTATAATTTTTTTGTTATAAAAATTTTTTTTTTTTGGATATTTTCGTAACAAATGAATTTTTCGGTTTGGTCAATATTTTTCTTTTGTTGCGGTATTTTTTTCGTTACAATTACAATAATTTTAATTTCAAACTAAATTTAAAATAATATATCATATTTCATAGATATATACATATATATTAATATATACATGTTAAAATTAAAATAATTATTTATTTAAAATTAAAATTTTTATATATAATTAAAAATTAAAACTAAAAATAAAATTTCAAACATGGCAAAACAAACCCTTGAGCGCCGCTCCTCCTCCCAATTCTCGTCTACTTTTTGTTTTATTTGTTCTTCTTCACTACAAAATTAGTACGGATTTTTGGGAATACAATATTTTCCTTCGCAAATACAAAAGGAAT